AGAGGTTTTCATTTCTCTAGATGCTAGTTTTACTTGCCGTTTTCCTTCATGTTATCAATTTTTAAAAGCTCACTTTCCTTAATATCCCCATTCAAAAATAACTACTAAGATTTAGAAAGCCATGAACCCTGAAAATAAAAATAATATTTAAAAATTATTTTCTGCATAGCAATGTGCTTTTAAAACATCACTTGATCTTAAATAACGCTTTTTTTTTTTTTTTTAAATGGGGGGCTGAGGGAAAGGGAGAGAGAGAGAATCATCTTAACAACTCTTCTAGGAAATTTGGATCTAGACTACTTGGCCTTGTCACAAAACTTCTGGGATTGAACACATTTTTGTTATGTGGGTATTAGTTATAATGGAATTTGATTCCAAAAAATTATTAGCATTTCTTTAAATAATAAAACTCTTCCCCACAAAGGATGATCATGGAAAATGGGAACTACAGTTGCCATGCTCTTGAAGCTCTATAAAATATTGAGCTCTTTTGCTGAGTGTCATTATGATTCATGAGTAACATATTTTTACTGCCATTAGAACACTTGCAAAATTAAGCTAGAATTACCTCAGTTGACTGCTATTAGCCAAAGCACCAGCATTCGGTGCCAAGAATAAATCCTTGTAATGAGAGACTTCAACAGTTGTACAAAACAGGCTTTTTAAGATTGGTTTCTGGAAACTAAATATTACTTGCTGTGACAAACGGCCTATCATTAACAGATATTTAGCCCCGACTAGTTAAATGGACTTAACAATGTAAAAATGTTTACAGAAGTCGCATAATAATACCAATGATACATTTTTTTCTTTTTTAAAGATTTTATTTATTTATATGAGAGAGAGAGTGCACGTGAGCATGAGTGTGCGCGGGTGAGTGGGGGCAGGGGCAAAGGGAGAGACTCTCAAGCAGAATGAGCTGAACACCGGAGCCTGACTCAGAGCTCCATCTCACCACCTCGAGATCATGACCCTGAGATCATGACCTGAACTGTAGTCAAGAGTCAGATGCTTAACCAACTGAGCCACCCAGATACCCCTATTTTTTCTTTACTTACAGTCTTCTTTTTGGTAAGGCACCACTGTTGTTTTATAAAGATTACCGCATTCATACCAAAAATGCTTAGGTTTTTTTTTTTGAAAGCAGTAAGAGCATTTGATCAAATCCTCAAAAGGTACAACAATGCAATAACTGCATTTCACATGCAGTGCATCATTGATGAAATCAGAAGTGACCCCAGGTTCCCTCACTCCTCCAGCTTAGTGCTCGGACTCCTAGAATGAACAACATCCTGTTGCGAAGCAATCTTGGATGTCTCTATTTTATATCTAAATAATGAATCACTCTTATGAGTGCCACATGGCATGAAATATCTTTTTTTTTAAATTGTGGTAAAATACACTTAACGTAAAGTTTATCATCTTAACCATTTTTAAGCACAGTTTAGCAGCAAGTTCATTCACATTGTTGTACGACCAATCCCCAGAACTCTTTTCATCTTGCAAAACTGAAACTCTGTTCCCATTAAAAAAAAGCTCCCCTTCCCCGTCTCCTCCCCCTCCCCCCAACTCTCAGCAACCACCATTCTACTTTCTGTTTCTATGATTTTTACTATTCTGGGTACCACATGTAAGTGGATTCGGTACAGTATTTGTTCTTTTGTGACTGGCTTATTTCACTTAGCATCATGTCCTCAAGTTTAATTTCCTCCCTTTTTAAGGCTGAGTAAAATTCCATTGTATGTATATACCACCTTTTAAAAACTCATTCATCCATTAATGGACTTTTGGGTTGCTTCTACCCCTTGGCTACTATGAATAATGTTACTATGAAAATGGGTGTGCAAGTATCTCTTTAAGACCCTGTTTTCAATTCTTTTGAGTATATACCCAGAAGTGAAATTTCTGGATCATATGGTAATTCTATTTTTAACTTTTTGAGGAACTACTCTATAGTTTTCCACAGCAGCTGCACTACTAGATTCCTGCCAGCAAGGCACAAGGATTCCAATTTCTCCACATCTATGCCAACACTTGCTAATTCTGTCTTGTGTATGGAGAGGTGTGTGTGTTTTATAATAGTGATCGTACTGGGTGTGAAGTGGGATCTGATTGTAGTTCTGATTTGCATTTCCCTTGTGATTAGTGATGTTGAACGTATTTTCACGTGCTTGTTGGCCATTTGTTTGTCTTCTTTAGAGGAATGTCTGTTCAAGTCCCTTGCCCATCTTTTAATTGAGTTGCTTGTGTTTGCTTGTTGTTGTTGTCTAGTTGTTGGAGTTCTTTACATATTCTGGGTCTTAGCCCCATACCAGATATATGACTTTCTCCTGTTACTGCATGGTATCACTTAGATGTAGAATTGAAAAAGAAGAAAGAGAAAAAAAAGGTCAAACTCATAGACACAGAAAGTAGAAAAGTGGTTGCCAGGGGCTGGGAGGTGAAAGAAATAGGGAAAATTTGGTAAAAGGGTACAAGCTTTCAGTTAGGATGAATAAGATCTGAATATCAAATGTAAAACATGGTAAATATGATTAATAATACTGTATTGTATAGTCTGGATTTGCTAAGAGCATAGAACTTAAATGCTCTCACCACCACCCCCCAAAAAAGTAAATATGTGGGATAATGGATAGGTTAATTAACTTGATAGGGAGAATACTTTCACAACATGTATGTATATCAAATCATCACATTGTACATTTAAATATCTTATAATTTTGTCAATTACACCTCTATAAAGCTGAAAAAATTTATAAATATTGAAAGAATAGTTCCTCAATTTTTTGTGCTATTCTCTAAGTAATGGCTTCTCAGAGACATGACACTTAACATTTCCATCTGGATTATTAACATTTTCTCTATCACCCTCTTAAGTCTACGATCAACAAAACAATATATCAAACTTTGATTCATAGCATTCTCTGATTTCTGTGGCATCCATACTCCCACCATGGCAGATCTCAAGCCACCACCGTCCCTGAAGAGATGCACAGCAGTGCATTGTTATGCGTTGTTTCCATCATTCTGATAAATAGATGTAAATCATCTCAAAAACATAGAAAATAGTAAAATGTGGTAAAATAATTAGGAAGAAATAAGTTTTGAGTATGTATTATGTTTATTTTTAAGATAATGGATTCAGTTGTGAGTCTGTATGATTCAATTTTTAATAATGGATATGTTTAACAACCAACATGCAAAATCCCTAAGAATTTTTTTTAGAGATTTTATTTATAGATAGAGAGAGAGCACAAGTAGGCAGAGTGGCAGGCAGAGGGAGAGGGAGAAGCAGGCTCTCCGCTGAGCAGGGAGCCGGACGTGGGGCTCGATCCCAGGACCCCAGGATCATGACCTGAGCCGAAGGCAGCCGCTTAACCGACTGAGCCACCCAGGCGCCCCCAAAATCCCTAAGAGTTTTATAATCAGCTCTTGTGAGTTGCTGTAAGCTGGCCCAGCACAATGCTGCTTAGACCACTTCTGCCCTCAAACGTCCGCACTCCTTCCACCCCCAACATTCTGCTTGGGTTTCTAAAATAGTGTATAACTTTGGCCTCTCCTTGAAAGCTTTTAAATAAGTCTCCACTAATTGCTTTTCAAAGTCCTTCGAAATCCGGCCCCTGCACCCTGCTTGACTCTGGGCCCTGTTTCCTCCCCATTTCTCTGGAAAGCCTTCCTCCTTTCTCACCCAAGTTCAACCCTTCCTTCAGGGTCCAGCTCCAATTCCATAGGCTGTACAAAACCTTCCCTGGGTGCCTCAGTCATTTCTCTTATCACGTTATTGCCCTTACAGTTTCTACCAGAAGATGCACCCTGAATGAACTCGAATTTTCATTGACACTATTTTGTTGTCACATGTTGTTCCTCATTTTCCAGTGATAATGTATTAGATACGGCCAGCATCTCCAATGAGAAGGTCAGGGAAAGACTGGTGTTTCATACGGCTTGAGTACCCTCGCTGGGTATCTTCATGCATTCAGAACTATTTATTGAGCATCTACTATGTATCAGGGGCTGTGCTAGACATCAGGGACACATTTGTAAAAGTCTTTGTAAAGGAAGAAGACATAAGTTTGTCTTTGCCAACCTCAGTGGAAAAGCACACACCAAGCATTAAAAATAATTAAATTAAGTTTGGAGGGTAAAGTATATAAACAGAACCACCAAATTTTAGAACTAGCAGAGATCGTAGACCAGGCATTCTCACTGGAGACAATGATGTCTCCACAGGGACTTTGTGCAACACTGTTGAAGGTTTTTGGTTTTCAGTTGTTTAGAGAACTTACGGGATTTATGGGTATTTCCAGGGATAGGAGACATCCTGCAGTGTGTGGATAGTCCCATTCAACAAAGGACGGCATTACCTCACCTGATTTTTAAGAGTTTCACTGGGAATTCACAAAGATAAATTATAATTAGCAAAGCTCAGAATTAGAACTCTGCATGAAATACAAAGCTTTCTCTTGTGTGGTTTTTGAAATACACAGATTTTTTTTTAATTTAAAGATTTTTTTAAAAAATTTATTTATTTGACACACACAGAGGGAGAGCACAAGCAGGGGGAGTGGCAGGCAGAGGGAGAAGCAGACTCCCCACTGAGCAGGGAGTCCGATGCGGGGCTCGATCCCAGGACCCCGGGATCATGACCTGAGCCGAAGGCAGACGCTTAACGACTGAGCCACCCAGGCACCCCACCCTTGGCACTTATTATCCAGCAAACGCACCGCCGCAGCCTCCAGCCTCCTCAGGGCGCATCCCCTTCCCCCCTATGCCTAAACACAGGAGTCCCCGTTTTGCACAAGCAGTGCTTCGTTTTCATTTTTTTGTAGTGTCTCCCTCTTAGATCTCTGGTCAAAACTGCAGCAGAGATTCACACAAAAAATTTGAGAATCAAACGTCCCCAACTTTTAAGTAAACAAAGTCACCCCTGACCAAACGTTTGCACCTCGTACCCCCACCTAGGGCCGCAAACCCAGGTTCTCTGGATTGGACGAAGAAACATGCTTCAGAGCAAAAACGAGCTGCAGCTGGTGACCGTGCTGATTACCCAAGTGGCTTCCCCAAGTTCGACCCACTTAGGAAGTGCCCAGAGGGGACGCTGGGGCGATGAGGGACCAGCCAGCGGAGCCAAAACCAGTCAGGAAGAGAAGTCAACTGCAAATACGAGCAACTGCCGGTATATCAAGTAATTTTCTGGCTGAATTATGAATTCTTTAGGTACAACAAAAAAGTAATTTTTCTCTTTTGTCCATAAGGTTAATGCATCACTTTTTCATGTTGCTAGTTTTTCGACTTTCTGCTCATCTACTGTTGCCCTTCTAAAGACACACTAAGAGAAACAAGGGTGAGATCTTATCTTGTCCGTCTATTATAATGCAGAAATAATATTGCTGCCTCTACCCCTGTCAGAAACCATGGCAACAGCCTTGGTTGAAACCAAAGCCCAGAAACCTGGATGCCGGCAGCTAGAGTTTGCCCCTTCTTACTCTTGAAGAGAAGGCTGCCTGTGTCCCTGCCCTCCATTAGAGAGATGTCCGTTGGGTTCAAGTCCTTCTAGGCATGCCTTTTGGGACACGGTTCCAATTTTGTGGACGTTTCATTTTCTTTGGTGAGATTGATGAGCTAGCCACGTTCTACTGAATTGTCGAAGGCGTAAAGACAGGGAGATTCTGAAATGTGACATTGGAAGATGCATGCACCTCCACCTTACAAAATGCCAAAGAAATTCGGCAGTTTTGCCCTGGCCTCTGGGGGAAATGTGCCAGCATGTTTTTCATAGAGTAACACTGACCTCAGGTGCTGATTTGAGTTGAGAGAGGGAATTCTTTGTCCATACATGCAGGTGGCTCAGGCTAAATCGGTCACCTCTGTTCCTCCAGCAGAACAGAGCCATGGACTTCATACAGCAATAACGCTGAGAGCTAACATTTATTGAGTCCTTACCTTGTATTAAGTCCTGGGCCATGTGCGTCTCACACACTGTCTCATGCATTCATCACAATGAACCTGTGAGGTGGTACTATTATGACTTTCATTTTATAAACGAGAATGCTAAGGCAAGGACACAGGTGGGTTCGCACTGCTGGTTAGAGGCAGCTGGGATTTGAACCCACGTCTGTCTGGCTTTACAGGCTTCTCACCCTCACCCACTGCCTTAGGTTGGAGTTGAATGGATTGGCGTAGAACACCTTCCCTCCCACTCCCCACCCCTGCTCCCCAAGTCTGTGCCATTGGAGGCTGGGCCTTTTCTTGGTTCTCCTGCTCCTAGTCCTGTCTCCCCAGGCTAGTCATTTTTTCTTCTTGCAGTTGAGGTCTTGGCATGCAATTATTACTATTGTCTGGTGACCTGGAGTATAACTGTCCACTCTCAGAAAACACAAGGGGAGTATACGTTTCTTAAGGTTCTATGCTAATGATGCTTGGCACTCTTTAGCTAAGGGGACATGAGTGCACAGCTGTCATCTTTCTAGCTCTAATTTTGGAAGTACTCTGATTAAGAATGTAGCCTATCAGGTTGGGCGTCTATATGTCCAAAAGGACAAGGCTTTCCTTTGTTAGCTTGCTCTGGGCAGAGACTACAAACAGCAGGAATGATAGTTATATGAAGATGTAATCCTATAGTGAGAGCTAGATGGCCACTGGTTTGCACACTGGCTGTGAGAAATCTGGAATATCATAGCCGGTTACTAGGATTTCTGTTGCATGAGAACCCCTCAGGGTCCTGGAAAAACGGGGAAGTGAATTTTGAGAAGTTATAAACTCCTAGACCATCAAGAAGAGGAATCTCAAAGATGTGATGAAGGCTTCCTTCAATTTAGGGGGATATGGGTACCCTGAAAAGCAGAGCATGTACCATGTTCTGAATGAGAGAAGGAAAACTGCTCCCTAAATAAGGGCTCAAGGTCAATAGGGGAGAAATACTCTATTACCTGCCCACATTTGTCTAGATCTGGGAAATCTTTCCCAAGTTCCTCCAAAAGGAGCAGGCTACCTTTCAAAGAAAGCTCAAAGAATAGAATAACCAGTGTAAGGCCAGGCCACAGGAAGTTAATCCAAAAAAGGTTTGCTGGTAGAGAAGAAACTCTTCTTTAGTGTTAAGGATCATTGCAGTGAAAGAAGAGGGAGCAGAGAAGAATATTCCAGTGACAGGGAAGTAACAGCCACAAACCCAGGTCACCAAGAGCCAGAACAGGCAACATTAAATGCAGCCATGTCGAGAAAGCTTCAGAAGCAAGACCAGGAAGACTACTGTGGAGCCAATAGGGAAAGGAAGAGAGCTCGAGACCTTGTCACCCAGTGACTTCCTTGGAAAACTCAGTCTAAGATAGTGTAATTGTCCCTGAGGACAGGGAGGCCTGGGAAGATAGGGGATACCCAATATTATGGGTTGAATTGTGCCCCTCCAGAATTTATGTGTTGAAGTCCTAACCCCTCCCTCGCCCCCCCCCCAGTACCTCAGAATGTGACCTGATATGGAGATATGGTTTTACAGAAGTCATTGCCCAAATTAAAGTGAGGTCATTAGAATGGGCTCTAATCTAATGACTGGTGGTATCCTTATAAGAAGCGAACTTTGGACATAGACATTCAGGGAGAATTGCTTGTGAACATGAAGGCAGAAACCAGAATGATGCTTCTACAAGCCAGGGTATTATAAAGAGTGTGAGCAAATCATCTCAAGCTAGGTGAAAGGCATGGAACTAACTTTTTCTTACGGTCCTCAGAAGGCACCAGCCCTGCCAACACCTGGGGGCTAGAAGTCCGAAGACCTTGGACTTCTAGCCTCCAAACTGAGACTAAAAATTTGTGTTGCTTAAGCAACCCAGTTGTGAGGCTTTGTTAGAGTAGCCCATGCATTAACATACCCAGTAAAGCCCTCAGAGCACCAGTAACGGAACATTTTAGTTCTAATAGCAGGGAACCAAAGGGACGGCAGGTCCCACTATCACGATAAAGTTATGCCCCTTAAATTGTGTTCTCCATTCAGGCCATGTTCTGGTGAATCACTAGAATGACCTCTCTCCTGTGGCCTAAGTGTAAATCCTATGAAACACTCGAAGCACAAATTTTCATTCAAAGACCGCTTACAGGCAACCACTATATGCCCGATGACCTTGCAGATTTTAAAACATGACAAATGAAATGAGGTTAAATACTCAGTCATCTCCTTTTGAAAATATTTTAATAAACAGATTTATTGAAATCCATCTCCAACATTGCTGTCCTGGCCAGCTCTCCAGAGGGAAGTTGGGGTGGGGAGGAGAACTGACATAGCAATCAGGGCATGCAACAGGGTGTCCTTTGTTTCAACGATGCTTTATGGTTCCTGTATGGAATGTTTTCTTGAAAGCACTAAATGCTGCAGGATTTCCCTTTCCAGAGTGGAAATCCTGTATGGAACAATCATCAGGATAATCGTGGACTCTTTTGCTCGGCTTTCCCTTAGAGGCGAGATTGGAGCAGAGATTCATTGGTCCACTTCATCTAGTTTTGTTGGATTCCACTAGAGCATTTGAAATTCTTGTTTCTGAGGAATATTTTCTCTTCTCTGGTGTGTGGTTTAGGAATATAGAGGAGGATGGTGGTTGGACATAGCCTTAAAAAAAAAAACAACAACTTCTCATTGTGGATAATTTCAAACATACTCTAAAGGAGACAGACTAGAACAATAAACCTGAATGTACCAGTAATGTAGCTCCAACAATGACAAACTCTTGCCTGTTCTTGTTTCATTCATGCCTTCTGCTTCTCCTTCCCCACACTGGCTTATACTGAAACAGAGGCCAGCAATGATATCATTTCATCCATAAATATTGCAGTATACATCTCTAAGAGAGAAAGATCCTTAAAACCATTATCATGACACCATGACCACAACTCAAACATCCACAATTCTAAACATCGTTTATTGTCTAGTCAAGGTTCAAGTTGCCTTGATGGTCTCATAGTTTTTAAAAAGTTGGTTTCTTTGAGAATCAAAAAAATGCCCATGTGGTTTATGTGCATTTGTTGATGTGCACTGAGTTTCTTTGAAGCTATAGGTTCTCCTCTCTCTTCTTTTTCCTTGGAATGTATTTAAGAAAACAGGTTATTTTTTTCTGTCAGGTCTCTGGTTTTGGTTATTGCATTCCCCTGGGGTTGTTACCATGTTCCCCAGGCCTTCATATTTCTCAAATATTAGATTTAGATGCTCGATCTGATTCAGGTTTGATATTTTGGCAAGGTCACTTTATATAAAGATGGTGTTGAATCTTCCATCAGGAGGCACATCCTGTTCAGTTCTCCCCTGCGATGTTAGTGTCTGCTGATAGCCAAAACCTAGATCTTATTTCTTTTGAGATTTGCCAAATGATGGTATTCTAATTCTATTATTTCTTGAGCGTGAGGGTACAGCTCACACAGGAAAGACAGGTTCAATGCTTGATTGATTTTAGAATAATTGTTTTACTAATATCCTTCAAAGGTGACCAGTGAGTTTACTTTAAAAAATTCATTATTGGGGGGGCGCCTGGGTGGCTCAGTTGGTTAAGCGACTGCCTTCGGCTCAGATCATGATCCTGGAGTCCCTGGATCGAGTCCCGCATCGGGCTCCCTGCTCGGCAGGGAGTCTGCTTTGCCCTCTGACCCTATCCCCTCTCATGTGTTCTCTCTCATTCTCTCTCTCTCAAAATAAATAAATAAATAAAATCTTTAAAAAAAAAAAAACTTAAAAAAAAATTCATTATTGGGGCACCTGGGTGGTTCAGTCAGTTAAGTGTCTACCTTTGGCTCAGGTCATGATCCTGAGGTCCTGGGATTGAGCCCTGCATGGGGCTCCCTGCTCAGCGGGGAGCCTGCTTCTCCTTCTGTCGCTGGCAGCTCCCCCTGCTTGTGTGTGCTCTCTCTCTCTGACAAATAAATAAATAAAATCTTTAAAAAAAAATAAACTTCATTATGAACTCATTACTTTTTAATTTATTTAATATGTTTTAATCCATTGTTGGCATTAGTACTCAAATTGTCCCATCATTGGCTATTTGGAGCTGTTTCAAATTGGTTCTTGAGTCTTGGACATAAGCTTTTCAACTGCTTTTGGGGAAAGGGCACAGAGACCCTTACCAGAACTTTCACTCATGGATCAGTGGTGTCCAAACTTTTTTGATTGTGAACTCCCATTAGAAAATATTTTCAAGGGGGGCACCTGGGTGGCTCAATTGTTAAGTGTCTGCCTTCAGCTCGGGTCATGATCTCAGGGTCCTGGGATCGAGCCCTGTGTCGGGCTCCCTGCTCTGCGGGGAGCCTGCTTCTTCCTCTCCCACTCCCCCTTCCCCATCTGTGTGCTCCCTCTCTCCCTCTCTCAAATAAATAAATAAAATTAAAAAAAATATTTTCAAGCATGAATCCCCTCTATATGCTTATTTATAAATTATACACATATCCTAGGATTTAATATATTATATACATAACAAAACACCTCCAAATAGAAATCTTGGATCATAAGAAAAAGCTGAAATAAACAATGTTTAAAAATGAGAGTCACTGGGGCACCTGGGTGGCTCAGTTGTTAAGTGTCTGCCTTTGGCTCAGGTCATGATCCCAGGGTCCTGGGATCGAGCCCCACATCAGGCTCCCTGCTCCACGGGAAGCCTGATTCTCCCCCTCCCACTCTCCCTGCTTGTGTTCCCTCTCTCGCTGTGTCTCTCTCTGTCAAATAAATAAAATCTTAAAAAAAAAAAAAATGAGAGTCACCTAGGAGGTCACTAGACCTAGCTCTCTTAGCCAACCCAACAGGGGAGTTGGAGGGGGAAGAATCTTTGCCTGCTGAGGAGCCAGGAATCCTAGAAGAGACCAGGCTGCTGGCCTCCAGCCCCACGGCCTGGAGAGCTCAGCCCTGTTTCCTGCCAAGTTCTTGGCCATGAGCAGGGAGGAGATGCCTAACAGTGTCCTGGCACCCCACCAAGCTCTTTCACTGGCCAGCAATCTGGCAAGCAGGCCTGGTTGGGTCATTGCTCAGGGGAGGAGGCATGCAGGCTGGCTTCACGGATATGGAAGTAGAATCATGTCTGCTTTCTTTCTAGGAAGGAAAAGTCTGAAGTTGCAAAAGTTTAACTTCCTTTAAAAAGGGAATAGGCTTTAATTAAAAAGAATTGATAAAGCAAATTATTGTAAAAGGACCTTTTCGGGGCATCTGGGTGGCTCAGTGGGTTAAGTGTCTGCCTTCGGCTCAGGTCATGCTCTCAGGGTCCTGGGATTGAGCCCCACATCGGGCTCCCTGCTTAGTGGGGAGCCTGCTTCCCCATCTCCTGTTCCCCTTTCTTGTACCCTCTCTCTCTCGCTCTCTGGTAAATAAATAAATAAAATCTTTAAAAAAAAAAGGACGTCGTCATTGGCTTTCTATGCCGATAAAACCAGAAGATGAATACTGATGACTCAGGCTGCTACACCAGTGACTTGGTTAAGTAACCTGGTTGAGACAAGCTCTTAGGTAGAGATTTGGCTCCATCATAAGTAGCAGATTCCCTCAGCTGTGTTTTTATGATACTCAGTTTAAATTGTGAGGACCCTTACTGCCAAATTGTTTTGATATCCATTTAAATGGCAGAACTTTGTGTTTGTCAATAACTCTGAAATGTGGCTGGAAAATTATGGAACATCAAAAAGTAAGGCAGGTATTGGAAGTAATGGTGGTTTATGCAAGGAAATTGTCCTTAATCTCCTCAAAGTATCTGAACGTAAAATCAACTCCAAAATTTGCTATGAAAAAAAAACATCTTTTGTTCTCCAAAACAATAAAAAAAAAATCAGAATAGCATTTGGCTTTTGAAGTGATGGTTACTATTCCCTGATTCTTGGTTGTAAAAAGCTCGAAAGCAAATATGAATAAAATAGAATGTTCTCTTCTGACAGTTTCTAAACTTAAATATAGAATTTTGCTCATAATTTGCAATTGTAACAAGTAAGTTAAGAGGAAGTAGACCTCAGACAGTAAGATAATCTTTAAGAGGAAGTAGAAACTTCTGAGTAGTTCATCATCTGAAGTCATTCTTGTGAGTTAAGGATTGCTGATCCTAGAAGAATATAAATATACCCAGGAAGTGGAGCATCGTGTTGCTAACATTTTGTGTGTAGAAGTCGTGGTTTTCTACTGATCGGTGGGACCCAGGCAGAGACACTGAAACTTTTGAATGAGTCTTTTCAAAGAATGGGAAAATTTCTCACCTACTGACTTATTTTCTATATAAGCACCTAAGCCACATTTTTGTAACCCCAACCACTCTTACTGAAAAATAAAATATGACCAATTTTAGTATCCATATGAGAAATTATCCAAAAGTTCAGTTCACAAAATTGGGGGGAAAAAAAAGGCCCAAACTGAAACCTTAAGAGCCTTTACTCTATCACAACCACCTTGACCGGAAGGAGGACTGGGGGGCCCCTCAGTCATGTGGTATTAACCCACCACTCTCACTTCTTCGTTTATAAAGTGCCTTGGGATTCTAAACGATTTTTCAACAAATGCTCAGCATCACCGATTTATCAAAAAAAAAAAAAAAAAAAGGAGACAAATAGATTACATCATCATGGAAAAATCTTCCATTCCTTTTGATTTCTCAACTGGATTAAGTGCTTAGAGGCCCCAAGGCAGGTGTTGTAAAGACAACAGTGCTGTTTCTATTATGTAAACAAGTAAAAAACTTCCAAACTACATAAAATACTTGTAGGGAGTCCAGCAAAGGATTTCTGTTTCCCATGATGATTACTTCAATTTTTAAATTTTTTTTTCAGATATCAAATATGAACTTTTTCAGAAAAGAGGTTATTGGGTGCTTCTCTTTTGCTCATCAGCCTGTGCCTGCTAGTCCCCTCTGCGGACCTGGTCCCACATGTTTTCATCACAAAAGACCGTTTGCTCCAAAAAGCTCAGTGTCAGGATTTCAGTTTCTCAGGGGAACAGGCTTATCAGTTACTACACAGGTTTTTATTAAGCGTTTGCTAATGCCCAGCACCGTGCTAAGTCCTGCAGGGAACTCCAAGACTTACGAGGGCGAAGATAGTGTGACATTCAAAGAGTTTATATTCAAGTAGCGGAAGACCACTTACGTAAAAAAATGAGACAACAACCAAATGTCAATTGTTGGTCAAGGTGAATGTGGAATTGAGGGCCTGGGAGGCCCTTTGGAAAGAAGTTGGACTTCTGGGTTGTGTTTTTATTACTTTACATTTTATTGTATATTTTGAGTAAATATGTATTCCCAAGGCCCAAAATTCCAAAGAGCTCCCTTTCTCCCCTGCCCTTTGACTGCAATTTCCCTCCTCAAGGCAATCAGCCTGGTGACTTTTGCCTATTTTTTCAGAGCTGTATTATGTATATATGTAAATAAATATGATAAATCTTTCCTTCCCCTTTGGCGTTACAAAGGGTAGCTATTCTGTGCCTTGAAGCACAGAGTGGTAGAACGGTAGAGTTATTAAAAGCTGAGGCTCTGGAGCCTGTGTTCCAGTCTTGACTCTGTCAATTTTTACCAGGGTGACCTTGGGCATAAGTCACAGAGCTGCTTCCTGATCTCTGTAAGGGAGGCAAATACGAGTACATGCCTCTTATGGTTGAAACAAGCTAATGTATATTAAATGCTTAGAACAGTGCCCAGCATGTAGAAAGCACTGTAATATATGCTAGATTGTGCTATTTTCACTTAATATATCTTAGAAATTGTTCCGTATCAGCACAAATAGACAAATTTATTTATTTACAAATGCTTAATATTTCATTGAGGGACATGCTATCTTGTGCTTGGCCTTGTGTGATGAAGACCGTTTAGAAAATTAGGAAAACAGTGTTCTAGGGTTTCCAGGAGGTAGAGCAAAAGTAGCAGGTTATCACTACACACCTTTATTTGGCTAAAGTTTAAAAGACTAACCACACTGAGTGTTGGTAAGGATGTGGAACATTGGAACTCTCTCACACACTGCTGATAGGAAAGTGAAATAGGGTGATTATGTTGGAAAACAGTTTGAGCATTTCTTATAAAGTTAAACACACATCTGCCATTTTCTTCAGTCATTGCACTAGGTATTCACCCGAGAGAAACAAAACATATGTTCACACAAAGACTTGTACCCAAATATACCTAGCAGCTTTATTTGTAATAGCCCAAACCTGGAAACAACCCAATGTCCATCAATGTGTGGATGGATGAACAAGTTTTGGTAAATCTAAACAATAGAATACTACTCAGCAATAAAAATGAGCAAACTAATGATAAATGCCACATGGATAGAACTCAAAGTAACGTTGTAAAAGAGTACATACTATATGATTTCATTTTTATACAGAACTCTAGAAAATGCAAACTAATCTGTAGTAAACAGAAAGCAGATTAGCGTTTGAGGATAGAAGTAGAAGAATGGGGGGTGAATTACAAACGGCACAAGGAAATTTTAGGGGGATGATGCATATGCTTATGATGATAGTTTCACAGGTATGTACATGTGTCAAAGCTCATCAAATTATGTACTCTATGTGCAGTTTATTATGATAAAATATACCTCAACAGACTTGGGGAAGGAAAAAGAAAACAGATGTATTCAAAACGAAAGGATTAAAGCACCCCTAAGAAGCTCACAGAAAAACTAAAATTTTTGGAATGTCCAAATTTCAGTTGAGTATGCATGCAAACATAGCCTAATACCTAAATAATCATTTACATTTAGTTCTTCTTTTGTGCTTTTCCTTCCTCATATCCATACTAGGTATGTTGGTAGGGGAGGCAAAACCTTTCCTTCCAACCTTCTATGTTTTCAGCTGGGCCTCTGGAACAAAGACAGATTAAACAAAACAAAACAACCCAAGTTTGTTAGCATGTATATCTCATATATGCATGGGAGAAACTCAGAAAAACAGAAACTAAATAAAAAAGGTGGCTTAGGACTCCTACTTATGCAGCATCTTTGGCATAGAACAATAAACGTTGGAAGAAATGACAAGACCCAGGAAGGCTGTGTTAGCCTTCCAGGGGAGACAAACTGAGGGAAGGAAATACAGGGGTGGAAGCTGATGGAATTGGATTTGTTGGCAGATTCCTCTGGTGCTGTCTCTGGGCTGATGCGAGTCTATAGTCATCTCCAAGAAAGGGGAATTGGCATACTGCCTTTAGGCAGAAAAGGTGCAAGGTAGAGAGTTTTCCCGTGTTTGCTGCTGCTTAATTGCCTTCAGCTCAACATAAGAGTTCAAAGAGGTATATTTTGGGGTGACATACCCTGGTTTCCTCCTTCATTGCTCAGTTGGGGGACTTTTTTCTTTCAGTTGCTCTGATGAGTCGCTTAGTATTTACTTATTGAATGAAACTGTTTTTTTTCTTAAGTAAGAGATGGGAAAGAGCTCAGTTGGTGTGTGTGTTGTGTGCTCTTCAAGGTGGAACATGTGGAAAGGTGGCTAGTAAATGGTAGGGACGTCTCAACATTTCCCTTACACCAGCAATTCTCAAACTGTTTTTGGTCTCAGGATCCATTTTGTTCTTAAAATGTATTGAGTGCCTCAAAAAACTTTTGTTTAAATGGGTATGCATATCAATATTTACTGTATTAGAAATTCAACCAAGAGAATTTTTAAAAATATTTATCAATTTGGGGCATCTGGGTGGCTCAGTTGGTTAAGAGACCAACTCTTGATTTCTGCTCAACTCATGATCTCAGGGTTGTGAGATAGAGCCCTGCATCAGGCTCCACACTGGGCATGAAGCCTGCTTAAGATTCTCTCTCTCGGGGCACCTGGGTGGCTCAGATGGTTAAGCGTCTGCCGTCGGCTCAGGTCATGATCCCAGGGTCCTGGGATAGAGCCCTGCATCGGGCTCCCTGCTCAGTGGGGGGCCTGCTTCTCTCCCTCCCTCTGCTTCTCCCCCTACTCATGTTCTCTCTCTCTCTCTGTATGTCTGTGTCTTGAATGAATAAATAAAAAAAAATCTTAACAAAAAAATTCTCTCTCTAACAACAACAAAAAATTTAATTAAAGAAATATTTATCAATTCATTTAAAAAACAATAAACCCCTTACGTGTTAATGTGAGTAAGATATTCTTATGAACAATATCTTTTCAAAAAAAATTTAGTGTGAAGAATGGCATTGTTTTCCATTTTTGTCAATCTCTGGAACATCTGGCTTAAAAGAAGACAGCTGGATTCTCCTATCTGCTTCTTGTTCCATCTGGTGTGACATCATGTCATGTAGTCACTGGCAAAGTCCACTGTACAATCATGAGAGCATGGGAGTGAAGCAGGCAAATAACCTCTTAGTGTTGTTATGAAAATTGTTTTCACTTCAAGGACCTTAATGGAAGGATTTTTATTGGCCCCAAATCTCTTCTCTGGGAGAGACTTTGAGCCCATGTCTTACAGGACCACATGTAAGTCACAGCATACAGCTAAAAATCTATCCTGTTTTACAAGAGTACCTTTGAAAGAGAGTCAACAACTGTCCCAGTTTTATAAAATATTTGCCAGATAATGAAGCTGGAGCCGGAGAAATGTTAGGCTGGAAAAAACGGATATGAGGCCAGAGATGAAAAGGAATGTTTGTGTATATATATATACATAGTTAACGTTTACCCCTGAAACCTTAAAGAATGTATCTAACACCGGATTTAAAAAATCTTTACTATGGCCAGACTACTCTGAAAATTGACCCACTAAAACATCCGGGAGTTGCTTTAGCAATCAAGGGAAGAGTCCCCTGACCA